TTTCGTGAAAGCGTCTATTAAAAAATACCATTATACCTCCTCACTAGTATGAAGAACATTTTAATCATTGACGAAAAAGACCAAACATATGAACATGCTAATTTTTTATTTTTGTAAGAATAATCCAAAGTGTACGTTATTTTTAAAAATAATAGTAGCCTACCAAATAATTTTCCCTAACCCATCTCAATATTGATCAATTTTCCCCCCCCCCTTTTCTCATCTACAGTCTCCCCCCTTCCATTGAGATCTCGTTTTTGCCTGTTGAGCTCGTATTCCCGGCCCAATTGTCATGAACGCGTCTTTAACTTTGGTAAGAATTCAGAATGTAATTAATCACCATTGTTTGGGTCAAGTTTATGGATGAGTTTTTCCTTTTTATTTGTTATGTTCCTTCTGTTCTGGTGTGTGTTTAGAAGCAACATTGGACGCAACTGTTTTTCTCGGCCAGTAAATGTCAGCACCTTCTATTCTGACTTGTTTTGGGGGTTGCCGTCAAAGAAGGGAGCTCATAATTACCACGCGTGCGATGGGGGTCGTGAATCATTAGCTAATAAACCGAATTTAATCGTATTCATCTAAGGCCGAAACATACGGACTTTTTTCTTCTTTTTTTATTTTTTATGCCGCCTTGTTTCAAATTGAATACCTTTTAACATTTGGTATTGATAAAATTGAATTCGTTGGTCGTAGGAAACATAACAATTGGGATGAATTCGGCTTGGGGGTGGGGGGTGGGGGTGGGGGGAGAGGGGGTCGCACTTAATTCATTAACATACCCATACTATTTACGCAAGTAGGGTGACGCGCGCTTAAAATAATCTTAACCCCTACTTGTATCTCTTAAGGGGTTCTCAACCTTTCTAGTGCCGCGACCCTTTTAACACAGTCTCTCGTGTCGTGGCGACCCCCCCCCCCCCAGCCACACAATTATTTTCGTTGCTACTTCATAGCTGTAAGGATATGTGTTTTCAGATGGTCTTAGGCGACCCCCTGGAAAAGGGTCCCGCGACCCCCAAAGGGGTCACGACCCACAGGTTGAGAACCGCTGTCTTAAGGTCTCTTTTGATTTATACATACATATATATACATATATGTATTTTTTTTAAAAAACTCTTTTGTTTTTGTTTTTTGTTTTGTTTTGCAGTTCAATTTTCATGTAAGATATTTTTTAAATATTTCATAACCTTATCAGTTTTTGTAAACAAACCAATCAACTTTTTAATGCAGATTAAAACATGGGGGGGGGGGGGTTAAAATTTAGGTGTTTCAAATGGTAACGAGATTGGAAGGGCTAAACCTGAACATGACGCGCCTTACTCCACATAGAAAAAAAGTAGGCTGTTTTAAGACTCGGAAATTTTTAATTTTGGATTTTGTAAAAAGTATAAGACTTAAAAAAAAAAAAAAAAAAGAACATGCCGTACAATGCAGGCCTCTAAAATAGACAAGACATTTGCGGTTTTCTCATACGACAAGCCAGATTGGTTCAGTTGCGAAATTTTGGGGACTGCAATATTTTTTCTTGTCAGATTAACAAAAAAAATAAAATAAATATAATGCTAATATTAATTCCAATGTCCATTTTTCTTTGCACTTGTTTCATTTTGTTTCATTAATTCACAAAAAGTTTGTGCAGTCACCTGTTCAAAATAAAATGAGTAAAACAGAGTAGGATTAAATCTGAAGAAATAAACGCAACAAAACAGCGAACGTATCGGCAGAAGGCCTTCGTCAGCGAACAAAACAACAGAAAAACCTGTTCAGCATGACGAGCCGGAGGATAGGTAAGAGACTGGATCCACATAGCAGACACCCCCATGTACCATCAGAAGCGTTTTAACAAAAAAAAAAATAATAAAAATGGAACGCTTTCAAGGCCGTAAGCTTCGAGTTTTCCCGCTTGTGGCAATAGCGTTAAAATGGGTGTTTAAAAAAAGCCAGAGAATATCGACTGTCATTGACATATCCAAATACCGTTTGTTGATCAAGATTTAAGACGTCCGTGGAGATCGATCGATTGCCTTCATCTCTAAAAACGATGGAATTAAATACTAAACTATAACGGGCCTGGAAGAAGAAGAAAAAAAAAGGAGCTATTGTGTGTGTGTGGGGGGGGGGGTGAACTCAACTGTACACTTGTGAATTGTAATAAGATAATTATTTTCTTTAATTTCCTATATATTTTTATAAAAATGTATCCAACTGAAACTCTTGAGAGAGAGACGCGTTGAATCAAGAAGTCGGCAACATCAACATGTTCACGTGACCTTGTCCTAGACAATGGAGGGGATTTCCCAACATGTTCACGAGACCTTGTCCTGGCCAATGGAGGGGATTTCCCAACATGTTCACGTGACCTTGTCCTGGCCAATGGAGGGGATTTCCCAACATGTTCACGTGACCTTGTCCTGGCCAATGGAAGGGATTTCCCAACATGTTCACGTGACCTTGTCATGGCCAATGGAGGGGATTTCCCAACATGTTCACGTGACCTTGTCCTGGCCAATGGAGGGGATTTCCCTGTCTCTCGTGGACGCAGCGTATAATCACCGTGCAGCACGACGTCTCCCCCCCCCCCC